TATAGAAACCTAATAAAATTGGTTTCGTTTTTAAATTATTATTTGTGTGTTTTATTATTTTACATTTTCAAAAATTAATAAAAATCTAATTAATACTTTTGCATTTGGACCCTAAACTATTACTAAATTCTCCAAGTTTTCCTTCTTCTATGTGGATGTGGTAGACTAATGTGCCACGTTGTTACCTGCGGGCATCAAACGAATCACCGCTCAACGGACTCGTCTGTTATGTGCGACAAGGAGGTTCATCTATTTTTCCACTGCACGTCGTTCCTTCTTTCTTACTCTCGCAGGAGGGTGAGCGGGGTGTAGACACGTGGCCACACACGCATGAGGCGAGTAGGGCGCAGACGCGCAGGCACACGCGTACGGGCATGCGTTGACAGGCAAGCGGGGCGAGCGTTTGCAGGTGTCCGCCACTGCCGGCACAGGTTGGAGCTAGGGCGCGCACGCACGGGCAAAGCGGAGCACACAACAAGGACGTCGTAGAGCATGGCGAGTGCCGCGGCCGCCGCCAGCACATACTGGCATCGCATCGCCCACGTCCATGGCTAGACGCATGCTCCCGCGTACGTCGGGACTACGCACGGCAACAGGTCGCAGTTGCCTGCCACCGCCGGCGCAGGCTGGAGCTAGGACGCGCGTGGGGTCGTGATTTGTTTGTGGAGAGGTGGGGCTCGACGCGGACCCATGCGGGTGGGGCGACGTGGGAGCGTGCGGGGTTCACGTACCGGACTCAGCATTAAACTGGGGCGGAGCGAATAATATTTGGCATTCGTGCGACGCGGACTCTCGGACGGGGACCCACGCGGGCGGGGTGATGCGGAAGCCAAAGATTAAGCTGGATGAAGTGAATTATCTTAGCGTCCGACGATGACATTAGGATTTTTTAGGTGTTTTTTCGCTGTATAAGAGCATCTCTAAGAGTACCTAATATTTTCTAATTAAAAACATAGAGTTTTACACCTTAAAAAATATTGGAAGGAATAAAGAACGTCAACTCCAGAGTTTTTAATAATCCACTCCTAAAACATGGAAGGCAATTTTACATCAAGAATCATATACTATTTTTAAATTATTCTGACCACTTTTATATATTTTTTCTCTCTTATATATTTGCATCAGGAACCCTTTCCTACTCTTTATTCTTTCCACGTCCTTCCATCTTTAGATTGGCCGACAAGCACAAGCGGAGGGACGCAGACGACGTTTTTTTCGGAAACGGAGACGGTGGGTTTTTTATATTTTTTTATCGTATATATTTCAGAAACGTACGTTTTTTCGTGAGGTTTTTCACCGTACGAGGGCGGGGGTGGGGGACGCAGACGATAGTCTTCCTTATTTTTTATGTGGTAGTAGAAGTAGAAGAACTACTTGCATTTAGCGATGACACGATGATACGTAATCTGACTCTAATGTATTAAGTTCCGTTATAACGCATGAACACATTTGCTAGGAGCCTAAATAAATAATCGAAAAAAAACACAGAACTGGGCCGAACTCTACTACCAGGTGGCCTTCGAGATATCGGCGACTCAACCCGGCCCAAACCAACAACATGCAGAGTCGGTGACGGAATCAATACGGAGCACGTTTATAATCTCTAAACCTAAAATCGTCGACAGACGTGCGAAACATTGCTCGCCCCTGCTCCCTTCGTGCGAAACAAATCCCGACGCCTCCGCCGCTTCTCGTCTCCTCGGAAGAAGGAACCGCAGCACCTCGCACCCGCGCACAACGACGCCTCCCACGCACGTCGACCAGCTCCGCAACTCGTCTCGCTCCAAAGAACCACTGCCCCTGCGCCCTCGCCCTCGTCGTCGCCGGCTGCTCCTCGCCCCGCCTCGGCGCGCGGCATATCCGCAACGGAGGCGGATCGGCAATTCGGCATCACTGCGTCGTCGCCGTCGACCTCACCCTGCGCCCTTGCCCTCGCCCTCAGCCACTGCCCCACGTAGCCGTTGCGCCGCCGCCTCCCCAGCCCCGCCACGCTCCGCCCCTTCCCATGCCACGACAGTGATGGGATCCAAGTACCTGAGGCACAAGATCCACGTCACGGATGCGGACTTCTCGGAGAGTTGGAGGAGGACAAGCCGCGGGCTTGGCGCAGCCGCCACCTCTCGCCCTGCCCGGGAAGGAGCAGCAGGTGTCCGACATGGGGATTTTGTTGCAGATCTCCATGCTCGTGCTCGGCGCCTCGGCCACGAACTGTGTTACCACCACTTCTACTAATTCGCCGAGGCCAACGCCCCGCTCCTCACCAGTACGTACTCATCTACCCTGCGCACCATGCCTCATGTCCCTGGCCACCCACCTATGGCGTGTGAATCTGGAAGTAGGATGGTTGAATGGATCGACACGGATCTGTTCATACATTTTTTATTTGATCGCATTAACAATAGTAGTGTATGTGCTTGTTACTTGCTCAATTCTCATCCTTCACAGCAGGGAAGTTTGATTTAGTGCAGAATTATGAATTGTTTCCTGGCAATAAGCTCTATGAATTGCAGGATGTTAATTTATTTTAGATGCCTTCTAATGATGCAAGAATTCTCTAAACATACAATCTAGGAAGCACATACGGAGGTCGAGTTGTTAGTTGTTTGTTCAACCCAGCCTTGGTTTTCAATTATCTAGGGCTAGGTTACATAGATAAGAAATCAAAGGTCATTTGTTTGTATGCCTAACAGAGCTTACTGATATCACATTTTCAATTTTTTTTCATTGCTTTTCTAGAAAAGGCAAAGAGCTTTATCTAAACATTGTTCACATTCAGTGCCAAATAGCAATACTAATTCACCCTTTTTTTTTAGCAAATATCAATAGTCAATAGCTTCAGCGGCCACCGCGGAGGCAGTGAGGTGGCGCATGCAAGAGCGAAGATGTTCTCTGTTCTCGCTTCTGTGACGTTCATATAGCAGCAATCTTGGTTCTAATGGTGGCTTTATTTTTAGTCACTTGCTTGCATCCTTATAATCTCTGAAAGTGGAATTCAATTTTAGCACCTGAAACATGTTCAATTCAGACAAATGCTTGAATTGGCCACATTTTAATTGTGCATTCCTATTGTTCTAAGAGAAAGCACAGGATGGGTTGAGAAAGAAGATAGAGCTAGGGAGAATGCGGGCAGCCTGCTGGATCTTGGCACCACCGCTGTCGCTCCCTTTTGCTGCTCTTCATGCACATGAGCGATCCACCTCGTGTGCCAGTTCAAGACTTGCCACTGGTCTGTACTAACTCTTGGCATGATGTTGTTGAGCACTGTTGATCATTGTTACTGATAACTTGCTTCGTTGATCTTATTCAAGTAATTTGCGTCTATAATTATGCATGTGCTAATTTGGTTGATTCCACATGGCCACATCAGAAAAGTGAGGGAGTCAACAAAACTCATGATTTTGAGGACAAGATATTGCATTTCTGAACTATTCAGTGCTGAGAAAAGTAAGGTGTTATTTATTGGTTGGAGTAATCTCTGTTCCTATCAGGCAAGAACCAATGGTGACTTTGGTTTGTCATGATTCAAGGCAGTGCTCTTGGTGATGTGTTAGTCATATCAGCCCCAGGAACTCAAATGGCTTCAGAAAAATCTCAGTGGTGAGTGCATGACCCTTGTTGGCTCATCTTTACCAAAAGAGCATTTTTCCCTACTTTAGTTCAAGCCATAGCTTATAACTGGCCAAACCCACGTTCATACATAGTTTGTGTCCTATCTATTATGATATCCCATATCATGATTATAGAAAGTAGACCATTCAACTTACTAATTCAATGCAGTACACTTATTATTCAGTTCATTGGACTGATTTAACCTACAATTCTTTTCAAGCAAGGCTATGTTTCTACTTTGTTAGATATGATGTCGACAAACTTTCAGCTACATTTTAGATCCATTGACACCCTTGATACAAGGAGCAGCAGGTGTTTTGTGGCTCCAATAGACTGCTCCCTGATGGTTTGCCTCGACCTCCTTCGGTCCTTCCTGTTGTGGTGCTGCTCATGCCTCCACAACTTCTCGTTGTCTCCACTAGTCACTGGAGGAGAGGACACAAAAGGGTACATGAGGGTGAGGGCAGTGAGCCACTGCGGCCACCGCTCGCTGTGCGTGCCATGGCCGAGATATGCGAGAGGGCACTGCGGTGGGATGCATGGTTCACACTGCATGAGGCCATTCAGGCACTTCATGATAGGCTATTTGAACTGCAACCGTACCAATCCGTTAATGCGAGTATTGTTGGACGTTATTGATCTATTCCTAGCTAAACACTGTCAATTACATCATGAAATTTTCTATGACGTGAACCTTTGATTGTTATGGATCAAGCATAAGATGAATTATGAGAGGAGTTGATTAGACAATGCCTCTAGGATAATTGCACTTTTTTTAGTCCAAGCTGTAAGAAGTGTCAATATTTTCTTCTTTTGGTCAATCTTTCCCATATTGAGAGACAATTATGCATTTTTCATGAAAATTTGAGAAGCTGCACAATTACCAGAGGAATGAATTGTGCGAAAATAGCTATCTTTTTCCCTAGCTGGGCACGTGTAAAAGTTACATTTCGAAAACTGCATGTTGATATCATATTTTTCATATTTTTCTTATTACATTAGATTATTTGTTTTTTATGTTGCAACGCACGGACACTCACCTAGTATATACTCCCTCCATCCTAAATTGTAAGTCATTCTAAGAATCTTGGAGAGTCAAAGTTTTTCAAGTTTGACCAAATTTATATAACAAAATAATAATATTTATCATACCAAGTAAGTATCATTAGATTCTTCATTAGTTATATTTTCATATTATACCTATTTGATGTCATCAATCTTTGTATTTCTCTCTATGATTTTAGTCAAACTTAAAAAAATTTGACTCTCCAAAATTCTTAGAATGACTTACAATTTGGGATGGAGGGAGTAATAATTATATATAGTCTAGAAACGCCCCCAGCCCACCACATAAAGTCGCCACGTGGCAAGCCCTCGCCGAATCCGCCGCCATGAAGCGCTCCGCTAGCGGGTTGGAGATTGCGAAGCCCGTCTTCCTCACCAAGTCTGAGCGGGAGCGCCTCGCCCTGGAGCGCCGTCTCCGACCGGCGCCACTCCGCAATAGATCTGCTCCGGTCCGTTCCCCGCCCCACCCCCCCCCGCCGCCGTCACTGCCAATTTACCCGTCCCGCGACCGGGACAGAGGCCGCCGCCGTGAGTCCCGTGACCGCGATTCTCCCGATCGGGACCGGGACAGAGGCCGCCGTTGCGACCGCGATTACTCCTCCCTCCGGGAGAGGGGTAAGGAGACGAGGAGGGTCCGGGAGCGACGCCCGGACAGCCACATGGAGCGGGAGAAGGACCGGAACAGGGAGAAAATTGCGGAGCGGGAGCGTGTGAAGGAGCTGGAAGCGATCAAGGAGCAGTACCTGGGTTCAAAGAAGCCGAAGAAGCGGGTCATCATCAAGCCGTCGGAGAAGTTCCGCTTCTCATTCGACTGGGAGAACACCGAGGACACAAGCCGCGACATGATGAACACGCTTTACCAGTCGCCGCACGAGGCCCGTCTCCTCTTTGGCCGGGGCTTCCTTGCCGGTGTGGACCGCCGTGAGCAGAAGAAGGTGGTAGCCCAACATGAGAAGGAGATCCGTGCAGACCTGCGGCGCAAGGCTGGTGCTGGCGAGAGCCTGGAGGAAGATGATGATTTGGTAGACAAGAAGAAGGCTGCTGCAGCAGATTCGTATGATCATGCCTTTGACATGCGTGTGGACAGGCTCACAGGCACTGGTCTGAGAAGTCGGTAGAGGAGATGACCAAGCGGGATTGGCGTATTTTCCGTGAGGACTTCAGTATTGCCTACAAGGGGTCTCGCATTCCGCGGCCGATGCAGAGCTGGAGTGAGAGCAATCTTAAGGCTGAGCTGCTTGATGCTGTTGCGGCGGCTGGATACCAGAAACCGTCACCAATCCAGATGGCTGCCATTCCACTTAGTTTAAGCCAGCGTGATGTTATTGGCATTGCCGAGACAGGTTCTGGTAAGACTGCAGCTTTTGTACTTCCCATGCTCAGCCTGTTCGCTCGTTGGTTTCAGCCAGCCCAAACCAACCAGCCAATAGTGTTTTCCTCTCATAAAAAACCAGTACCAGCCAGCCTAAACCAACACCAGCACCAACCAGCGAACATGGCCGCTGTCTTATATTACCCGCCTGATGCCACCCACAACTGATGGAAATGAGGCGGCTGAGGGTCCTTGTGCTCTTGTCCTGGCACCTACTCGTGAGCTTGCTCAACAAATTGAGGATGAGACACTGAAATTTGCATCTTATCTAGGCATTCATGATGTATCAGTTGTTGGTGGCCAGCCAATCAATGATCAGGCTTTCAAGATTGAGCAGGGCTGTGACATTGTAATTGCCACACCTGGTCGGCTTCTCTAATGCTTGGAGAACAGGTATGTTGTGCTCAACCGCTGCAACTATGTCGTGCGGTCGTGCTTGATGAGGCAGATATGATGATTGACATGGGCTTTGAGCCACAGGTTGCTGCTGTCCTTGACGCAAACGCAATGCCTTCGAGTAACTTGAAACCTGAGAGTGAGGATGAGGAACTTCATGAGAAGAGGATTTACAGGACTACCTATATGTTTAGTGCCACCATGCCACCTGCTGTGGAGCGTCTTGCTAGGAAGTATCTCCGGAACCCAGTCGTCGTGACAATTGGTACACCTGGCAGGGCGACTGATCTAGTCACCCAGAATGTGATCATGGTGAAGGAGTCTGAAAAGATGTTACGGCTCCAGAAGATGCTCAGTGATCTTGGAGACAAGACAGCCATTGTCTTCTGCAATACTAAGAAGACAGTTGACCTGCGTACCAAGGATCTGGAGAAGGCAGGCTTCCGCGTCATGAGCATGCATGGAAAGAAATCACAGGACCAGAGAGAGATCAGCCTCGATGGTTTTAGGAACGGACGCTGCAATGTTCTTGTGGCTACTGATATATTAGCGCGTGGTATTGATGTTCCTGATGTTGCACATGTGATTAACTATGAGATGCCAAACTCAATCGAGGCATACACACATCGCATTGGAAGAACAGGACGTGCAGGGAAGAAGGGTGTGGCAACTTCATTTCTAACTCTGGAAAACACTGAAATTTTCTTTGATCTGAAACAGATGCTTATACAGAGCAACAGTCTTGTGCCACCTGAACTTGCAAGACACGAGAAATCAAAGTTCAGGCCAGGCTCAGTTACTGGTAGACCTCCAAGACAGAGTGACACTGTCTTTGCAAATCGCTGAAGCTACACTTGATGACTGGAAGGAGTTGAAAGGTCCGTATTATTACTATTATTATGAGCGCAACTTCTTGCAAACTTTGCCTTCCACTGTCAATTTTCAGTTAATGTGCTACATGGTTCCAATATTCCTACATATGTTCTAGACATAAATTATTAATTATGCTGTTACAACTTTGCCTTCCGCGTCAATACACAGGTATGGAGCGATATTTGATTTTTTTTCCACCAGAGCTTACACATGCTTAAGCCCTGTTCGCTTGATCGTATCAGCCATGCTTATCAGCTATGATACAGTGTTTTTCTCTCACAACAAAACAGCATCAGCCGGCTTATAAGTCATAGAAACGATCAAACGAACAGGCTTCACTACTACAGGATGGCCTTGTTGTCCCGGACGGTAACGGCCTTTAGTCCCGGTTACCACGCCGGGACAATGATCTCGGGACTAAAGGTGGAACCTTCAGTCCCGGGTCATCGAGTCGGGACTAAAGAGGGACCTTTAGTCCTGGTTAGTGTTACCAATCGGGACTAAAGGCCCTCCAACCGAGCAAACGTGGCCGCAACCTTTAGTCCCGGTTGGTAACCTCAACAGGGACTAAAGGTTCCTTTTGTTTTTCTTTTTTTTTGTTTAATTTGTTTTCAGTTCAGTTACAAATATTTGTTTAATATATAATATATTTTTATGTACGTATTCTACGCTACTAATATAAATACACGCACGCATATAATTACATCTAATTCTCATCTCGAGCATTATTATATTCGAATAAAGTATGAAACTATATATATTATAGATATATATGTATATATACAACAATTTCATAATCTTGTTCTCGAAAATAACGATATCAATAAACATTTAATTTACATCTTCAAGAGTTCTTCTTATGTGCGCAGTGATAAATTCACAAACGTAGTATCAAACAAGTTATTACCTGGTTGCTGCCGTAAACACCACTGTACGAGAAGAAGATTATTCTCATCATCTCAGACGTAAATTGAAGTACGATATAGTAATTAAACACATGGGGAAGTATATATAGTACAACTTACTGGTATTTCAACTACATTAAGTGGTGCCTTGCAATCCTTGTGGTGTTGCTAAATAAACTCTTTCCAAACTCTGTGCGACCAATAATGTACTATCGTTAATAAATTATGGCAAAGTCTATTCAATAATAGTTGTGCGCGAGAGATCGAAATTACCCTTGGATAATGTCTATCATATCTTGGTATAGTGCCCGCTCTTTTCTCAACGAGTCCAAGATTACTAACCGGCTTGAGTTTAACTCAATGACAATGAGTATCCAGTGAAACCTGCATTGGTTTATACACACACGTACATGCATATAAGTTGTATTGATATTACATAAAATGTGTAGACTACATTATTATTAACACTTACTCAAAGTTATACGAGAAAAGTATTGTTGTCTTGTCGTGCTGCTTCACGAAGAACCTCATGATATTCTTCTGTGCTACAGATATCCACTGCTCCTTGATAATAATATAGGTTTTGAATACGATATAAGGATCAATAAAGCCAACACTGGTGTCTTGTATTCTTTGGAGCTCTGACATCTGGAATCTGTATATAAATATAAGTTACATGTGAGGATAATTATATACACGTACGCATGGAAGTGAGTTTATTAAATAAAAGTAAGAATCACTTACAAACAAAAGCAGCTAATGATTGATTTGTCCAGAGCGTCCATGTGGTATAGTTGATGCAATTCTTCGAAACTAATATGTAAGATGTCATCGCCACGGAAGTAATGATGGTCTCTAAATCTGACAAAGATCCACTCCTCACCCCTGCCACACGCCTGCATGTACCACTTGTTGAGCAAGTACATTTGCGTACCCAATTCATTCAGAGCCGCAGGGTTGTATGGACTTTTGCCAAATTTATAAGTCTTTCAGGTATCAACTTCCAGGTTCTAAATTGGAGCTTTACCCGTCAATTGATCCAAGGTTAAACCAGTATCTTCAAAAAAAGCATTAAGGTCTTGAACCGACACTCCTCCAGAGTTGTTTGGTCGATAGACTTCTATGTTGGAACCACATTCATTAGCAACAACAAGATTTTGCATTGGTTGCTTCTGTTGTCCGAGCTGTGGGACATCCTTCCCTGATGCTCTTTTCCTTTTCTTATCTGCATCATGTGACTTCACGAGGGAGCGGTCATAGTCTGATAGTGGCGGAGGCTTACGAAGTTCAAGCATCTTTTTCTTGTGAGCTTCGACCTTCTGCCTCAGCAGATCTCGTGGTATGTAAAAGTATGGCTTCTCCTTAAGCTTCGCTTGTCTCTGCTTTTCGATATCTATAAAAAAATCTTTCACTTTTTTGTCTTCTTCAGCTGCTATTTGCTCATCAGTCTTTTCAGGAAGTATTTCTTGAGAAATAACTCTTTTTTCGGGGTCTTCTTTGCCGCCGAGACCTTAGACGTCTCTATAGTGCGTCGCTGTGGAGGAGGTGGGGGCGGTGTTGGAGACCGACGTGGAGGCGATGAGGCCGGTGTTGGAGACCGGTGTGGAGGCGTTGGAGATCGTTGTGGAGGCGGTGGGGGCGGTGTAGGAGTTGGAGATCGTCGTGAAGGCGATGGGGCCGGTGTAGGAGTTGGAGATCGCCGTGGGGATGAAGTCGTCTCGCCCCCCCCCGACGTTGTGATGAGATGGGAAATGAATGATTGGGCTAGGCTGGGGGGAGACCCTGCTACAAAAACAAGTTGTGAGTCAATTATTTTTGAAGCCAATAGAAAATTAATGGAAAATAATATTTCATTCACTTTCATTCGTACCTAGGGTGAGGTAGGGGAAGCGGTGGCGCCTCAGGAATGATGATGAAGCATTTGCGCCATTGAATAAATGTCTTCTCCGCTTCTCCTAGTGTCTTCTCCCCATCACCGCCTTCAATGTCAAGAGGAACATTCTTTGTAACCTTTGAGCACTCTATCGACCGAGACGCTAGCATATCTAGGTTGAATAACTGACCCATGGATTCTTGGTGTCTTCGTTTGGTCTATTGGAGATACAACCCCGACAGCCACCATGATTGATGCATTATTACCATCTGGAATGTGCAGCTCACATGTTGTTAGAGGCTCGGTAATGTCATCAACAGGGAAGCGCAACCCAGCATCATCTTGAATAATTGGCAGCTCCGTGGAAGCACAACTGCTTTTCATCTGACCAACAGGGCTAATGGTGACTCCCGGCATTGATTGCGATTGCATTTGACTCATTGCTAGCTGCACTTGCCTCTTGACCTCCTCCTGCATTCTTGCCTCAAGAGATTTTTCTCGTTCAGGTGATTCAAGCAATGCTTGTCGTGACTCATTAACAAATTGCTCCAATACACAGATTCGGTCTGCCTCCTCATCCTTCTTTCTCTGGCAGCTTCTATAGATATCCTTGTCTGCTGGGAATGCTTGTAGCCACGGAACCGCCCCACAGCCTCTTGTTCGACCACCGTGTTCGGGATTCTCTGGGGCATATGTCAATTCATCCTTCTCTCTGTTGGGCTTGAAAACACCATAATCAGCTTCTTCCCTAGCACGAGCTAGTCTCTGTGTTGCTCTCTCAATTTTTTGGTCAAAAATTAGCTTGCCAGTGTCTGGGTCTAGGCTTCCCCCATGAGCATAGAATCAATTCTTCGCACGTTGAGGCCAGTTCTTCTCTATTGTTTCTGGTATGATTCCCTTGGCAGTAATCTCTGTTTCTAGGTTCTGCCACTTGGGAATAGCACTCCTATAACCACCTGATCCCATGCGATGATGGTATTGCTTTTGTCGGGCATTCTGCTGATTCCTCATCACACGTTCCTCACTCTCTTGAGATGTCTTGTATTCTACGAAGTCATCCCAATGGGACTCCAACTTGACAAACGCCTTAGCATTGAAATCTGGCGTATCATTCTTCAAGATAAACTTTTTATACGATGTCTTCTTCCAACTCTAGAACAATGTTGACATCTTCTTCATTGTCCAATCCCTCACTAGCTCCTTCAAAGCATCATCTGCTTGTAATGTGAAATGCTGAGTGATATATCTCCAAGCTAGGTTCTTGTCATGATCAGATACAAAACTAACATTAGGAGCGGATATCTTCTGCTTCCATTCACGAGCACTAACTGAGATCCTATCCCTTATAATGAACCCACATTGATTGACATATGTCTGAGCATGTGGTCCCAATGGTTTGCCGGTGTCGGTGTCAAATTCTAATATTATGAAATGGCCCTCTAATGACTTTTTTGGCCCTCGGACTTTCCTACTCTTGCCGGTGGTTGATGTAGATCCAGAGACCGGCTACATGAGTAGAAACACAACGATTAACAACAAATATACGTACGCATGCATCTATAAGAGATGATAGATAATCAAATATACCTCGCCAGTATTTTCTTGCACGACAATTTGTTGATCTTCAACCACCGGGATATTCAGGATATCCTCATAATCAGCAAAGTACTGACTCATGTCATCTACATCCGCATTGGTGCCGGTGTTGATAATATCCGTCATTATGTCATCATTAAGTTATCATCCGGAGCAGCCATTTGTATCTTCAAGATAACACATAGATAGAATTACTATGGCACATAACATAAGTACATGTGATAACACATATAGAATTACTAAATCCAATTAAATATAATAACACATAATATTTCATAAGGATAAACAATAATAAGGTATAGGCTTTGGAATCGAATCAAAAACACTTTCGATCCAAAAATATGGAAATAAGTACATGTATATATACATATAGAATGATACAATTTTCTCTCTCTCTCAACACATAGAAATAAGTGCATATGTATATATCTCTAGATATGCATGTGATAACACATAGAATGTCTCTCTAGATACAATTTTCTCTCTCTCTCAACACATAGAAATAAGTACATGTATATATACACATAGAAATAATTAAGTACATATATATACATATAGAATCTCTCTCTAGATATGCATGTGATATAGATAGAATTACT